CTTTAGTTGCTGCTCACCACTATGACAGGCATACAATCAATTACTGAGGACAAACTCAACACATTCCCTACAGTGTTCATGAAGCACCAGGTGCTTTAAATCAAATATTATATTAACACACAGCAGCTATTTCTCTACCTTCCTTAAAGTAAATGCAAAATTATTTTACACTATAAACAATTTGCCTCCACTAAAATGTTTACCAACAATGAAATGTTTTAGGCTTGTCAACAAATTGGCCCCTTTGTTTAATTCAAAATAATAAGATACTGTTTTTAATTCTTCAATTACACAGTACTATTTTTAAAGGGAGGCATATTAAAAAAAAAAGTCATAGTTTGTATCCTTCTCCAAATTCATTCTGTCAGGGCACCAAGGAATAACTAATGTAACCCTCTTTTACTCTAACCTCTGTTTAGGCATTAAAACAGTTCTAGAAATGAGGAATGTAGTTATTTGTGATGAGCAGGTGAAGAGGTTTCAAGGCATCTTACTAAATCTGTATGCTTCTCTTTACTTGCTTGACTATTCCCACTCTTCCTGATACTCTTGCCAGACTATTGTGTCATGGATCTCTGACCTCCTTCACTTATATCTCTTCCTTTACCTATCTATTACATGTTGATGTTTCCCAGTGTTCTGTTCTCAGCCTTTTCCTCTCATCATACAGTGGAAATCCCCTCACCCCTATAGCTGTATTATATAATGTGTTATGTAATACATATAGCACACATATATGCATTCCTATATATACACATATTCATACCAAGGACTCCCAAATCTCTTTCTCAAGCACCAGCTGATATTGCTAAAGCACAATTTTAAATCTGCTCTTCTTGTAGTATTTCTCATCACACTTAGTGCTGCCTAAGCAAAGTTTCTAAAACAAATTTTATCAGGCAACTTTTTCTGCTTAAAATCCTTCAATGTCTAAAAACAGAGGGAGGCAAACCATAAGAGACACTTAAATACAGAGAAAACTGAGGGTTGCTGGAGGGGAGGTATGGGCTAAATGGGTGATGGGCATTAAGGAGGGCACTTGTTGGGATGAGCACTGGGTGCTATATGTAAATGATGAATCATTAAATTCCACTCTTGAAACCATTATTACACTATATGTTAACTAACTTGACTTTAAATAAATGTTTTTAAAAGAATACATATGATTCCACTCATAAATGGAATTTAAAAAAGAATAAACAAAAAGCAGAATCAGAACTATAAATGCAGAGAATAAACTGATGGTTGCTAGAGGGGAGAGGAAGGAGGTAGTTGGGCAAAATGGGGAAAAGGGAAAGGGAGATATAGGCCTCCAGTATGGAATGAGAAGTCATGGAAATAAAAAGCAAAGCATAAGGAATACAGTCAGTGCTACTGTAATAGCAATGCAATGGGACAGATGTAGCTATACTTGTGATGAACATAGCACAATGTATGAATTTGTCAAATCACTAAGTTGTCATATACGTGTTAACATATATGTTAACAGTGCATGTCAACTACACTCAAACAAAAATTCTTAAGAATCAAAGTAGCACTGCTCCAGCCATCCAAGAAGCTGAAAAGAAAAAAGGCTAAGTAAGGGGAAGACAGTTGCTTCATGCAGAAGCAGGAGGCCAAGAAGGTGGTCAACCCCTTATTTGAGAAAAGGCCCAAGAATTTTGGCTTCGGATTGGGCATCCAAACCAAAACGGACCTCATCTGCTTTGTCAAATGGCCCCGCTATACATCCAGCTGCAGTGACAAAGGGCCATTCTCTATAAATATCTAAAAGTGCCTTCCGCAATTAACCAGTTCACCCAGGCCCTGGACCACCAAACAGATACTCAACTGCTTAAGCTGGCACCCACACAGAGACCAGAGACAAAGTAAGAGATGCAGCAGAGATTGCTGTCCCAGGCTGAGAAGAAAGCTACCAGCAAAGGTGATGTCCCCTCTAAAACGTTGTCTGTCCTGTGAGCTGGGGTCAATACTGTCACCACGTTGGTAGAAAACAAGAAGGCTCAGCTGGTGGTGACTATACATGATGTGTATCCCATGGAGCTGGCTGTCTTCCTGCCTCGCCTGTGTCGTAAGATAGGGGTTCCCTACTGCATCATCAAGGGGAAGGCTAGACCAGGGCGTCTGGTCCACAGGAAGACCTGCGCCACTGTCACCTTCACACAGGTTAACTTGGAAGACAAAGAAGGTCAGCCTAAGCAGGTGGAAGCTTTCAGGACCAGTTACCATGACAGATATGATGAGATCCACTGTCACTGGATAGACAATGTCCTAGGTCCAAAGGCTGGGGCTCACACTGTCAAGTTAGAAAAGGCAAAGGCTAACGAACTGGACACCAGACTGGGCTAAGTGTATGCCGCTGAATTCTCTGTACATCAAAGTTATAAAAAGTTCTCTTTTTAAAAATAATAATAAAATAAAATCCATCCGTGTCTCCCTCATCGTATTCCAGATTATGTCCAGACTCGCAGGTGAGGCAGTCAAGCCCCTCCATGATCTGACTCCCCATTTTCCTTTCTAGTTTCATACCTAACCATTCCAATCTCCTTCCTCCATCCAACCTATTATCAATCAAGCTCCTTGAGGATTCTTCAGTCAGTCATGCTCCTTCCTTCCTGCATGTTTATTTTCATACGCTCTTAATTCTGCCTGGAATGTTTTCCTCATTTTCCCTAATGTCTGTCAAACTCGGCTCATGAGTCACTTCCTCTATGCAGTCTTTCCTAACCTTCCTGGGGATGCTTCCCCCTGCACTCCCCAAAACAGACCTACACTTTCCTGTCCTAACTGAACTGATCTCATTTGTAATCATCTATCTACAAAATTAAAATCCATTCCATCTTTCTGTCTCCATGATTTAATCCTATATTTAACACACACTTGGTGTTTATAGCAACTTTAATTTCTAATGAAAACAGTTTAAATATTATAAATAACCAATGGCAAAGAATCTTGTTCTTTATTATAGATGACTAAATTGTCTAAACACTGAGTTTTTCTTTAAGTAACCATTAAAACTGGTTTCCAGTCAAATATAAATCTTTTTATACAAAATAGAAAATGTCAAGCAACTAAAGTAACATTCTCTGGGCTCAGATTAAATTTAGCTCGTGCAGGAACACACAGATTAGTATTATCTATGCAAATGAAAAATATAAATCTTTTTATCAAAAAGGAGCAACTGCTGAGAAACAGAACAAATTTAGTTAAAAAATAGTTTACATGCTAGCAATGTAGTCTATAAGGATCTCTTATCAGCCTAAGTGATTACATGAAAACCACCTAATACAAAAACATTTTAATTAATGCTTTATTTTCCTAAATTCTTTTAAAAAATGACCAGCTTTTCAGCAACTGTATTTGCGTCCAAGTCATTCTTGTTAGTAGCACCAAAAGCAGATCTCAATGAAGCAGAGCGGCATTTGACAGGATCACTCAGGCGGGAAAAGTCCTGAAACACTTACCAGTTTAATAAACTGTACAGAGCAATGACAGCATCAAAAGGGAGGAAAAGCAAACTAGAAGTATAAGGTGACAAGTGAAAGGGGAAGACAGCTGATAAAAAATAACCATTAGAAATTAAATTTTAAAAGAACAGAAAGATGCTAAAAAGCAAAACAATAAATAAATAAATCATCAGAGGTAAAGACATGTGATTATGCCAGCATAAGAGTTTACCTCTTTATTTAAAAGTCTGAAGTTTATCTCTTTATTTAAAAGTACTTTAGTTAAAAGTATATGGAAAGATATAAAATAAAACATGGTTAATAATCAACTTATAGAACTATGTTTCAGAATATTCAAAATAAAATAAACTTGTTACCTTGATTTCTCTTTGCTCAACAGATTTTTCCCATATTTGTTGATCGTATGCTCCAATCTACGAAAAAAATAAAATATAACACTGCATTAAATGATCATCGTTCGTACTCATCTAATAGGTATAACTCTGCTTGCATTACAAGCAACTCAGCACTCTTTCAGCACAGGCGAGATTCAGCTTTGTTTCAGACTTCTGCAATCAATACTGTTCTCAGTGCTTCTGAAAGTATGGTTTCAGGACCAGTAGTTTTAGCACCACCTGGGAACTTGCTGGAAATGCAAACTCTATGGCCTCATCCCACGGTTGCTGAATCAGTAATATGGCTAATGGCACCCAACAATCTGTTTTAAAAATTCCTCTAGGGGCGACTGGGTGACTCCATTGGTTAAGCGTCTTGACTTCAGCTCAAGTAATGATCTCACGGTTTGTGGGTTCGAGCCCCGCGTCGGGCTCTGTGCTGTCAGCTAGCTTAGAGCCTGGAGCCTGTTTCAGATTCTGTATCTCCCTCTCTCTCTGACCCTCCCCTGCTCATGCTGTCTCTCTCTTTCTCTCTCAGAAATAAATAAAACATTAAAAAAAATTTCCTCTAGATGATTCTGATACACTACTAAAGTTTGAGAACCACTATCCTGGGGAATCCTTTTTATTTTATTTTATTTTTAAATCAAAGGTTAGTTTATGTGTACATTGTACACATTTAGTTTTAAGATTTTTTTTTTTTAAAGATTTTTATTTATTTCTAGGAGAGAGAGAGAAAGATAGCGTGAGCAGGGGAGGGTCAGAGAGAGAGGGAGTCACAGACTGAAACAGGCTCCAGGCTCTGAGCTGGCAGTCAGCACAGAGCCCGACGCAGGGCTCGAACCCACTAACCGTGAGATCATGACCTAAGCGAAAGTCGGCCGCTTAACCGACTAAGCCACCCAGGCGCCCCACATTGTACACATTTAAATGACTCACAAGAATGAAGCTTTTTTCATATACATTAAGATCATACCACCTAGCTATTTATCAAAAGATGTTCAAGGAGAAATCTGACTCCAAACTGCATACAAGACTGCCATCTTAAAGAGACTGCATTTCAAACAGGCAACTACATCACTGGTACTAAAGCTTTGGAATGGGTGTTCATTCTATTATAGGACTAAAAACAGGATGGAAAGCAAGATCAGTTGAGAATTTAATCTAAAATGGAATAGAAGCTGTCATTTTCTGCACCAGCACTCCTCACTCCTCTGCTGCCATCTTTAGCAAATACTCCTTGTCGATCTTGATCAGAAGTACTTCTTTTGTAGAAATTGATAGATGGTTCATTCCATTCTGCTACCAAGAAGTGCATGCTGCTGCAGCGGCATTTCATCGCTAATTGGCTAAGGTTCTTCAGAATTTGTGATCTTATGCCAAAGCCTCTGTAATCACTCATTACGAAGAAGTCCTCAAGATACAACAGCGTGCCAATCCACAGGTCATAGGGAAAGTAGGACATGGAGAAACCAATAATGCTGCATCCCTCGAGAGACCAGTGCTCCTTGGGCACTTCTGCAACCAAGCAGTGGTAGAAAGGGTGCTCTCCGAAACCATCCTCTAGTAGATCTTTTTCAGTTAATATTACTTGCTCTTTCATGTTTTTGTATTTGAACAGTTCCTTGATCAGCCGCAGGATGTCACTACAGTCGGCGGTGGTGGCCAGGTGGATCACGGATTTAGCTATTTTTTTTTAGCAAAAGTCTTTTGCTTTTCTTCCCTTTGCAGATCAGGCCCCTGTACTTGAACAGCAGGAAGAGGTGGTTCCCCATTCATCTCCCAGGAGCATCCCTTTCTTGGTCAGGCTGGCACCATGACCCGGTGAACCTCTGCAAGCGACAGAAAAGCTCTGCCTGACTGTGAATAGCGTGGCACCAGGAATCCTTTATTTTAAATGTACACAATTGCTACAGCTATGGTGCCTTCAATAAAGGACTACCAATAATAAATTCTTTATGGATTTATTTTTAAAGAAAAAATGTAAATATTTTACAGAATTAAAAATTCATAAATGTGTAAATCACAATTACCACTTGGGTTACAGTTTAAACTGAAAAATAAACTCTTGAAGCAATTGAAAACACAGGGTAAACATCAAGAAGTAGAATTTCTTTTAGCTTCTTTGCCCGTCATTCTCAGATGTTGGAAAGTTCTCTGAACTACAGCTTTAGGAGAGGAGCATGAACAAACCACTCTTACTAAGTACTCCACATCTCAGTACTAAGAAACTAAGTTTCCCCTTAGTTCCCAATATCCAACAGGACACTGAAATGGGTTAATAGCTTATAGTTTTAATTAAGGATTTGCACTTTATCATTAATTGAAAATTAGAATTCTGAGAAATTAAGATTATTTCAAATAATTACAATTAAGAGATGAAACAAACAGAAACCAGAGATAGGCAGAGATATTATGAGGAAATTCAGGATAGAGCATTTTCTGACTCACAACATCATTCTATCCAAAAGTCCTTTTATTTATTTTTTATTTTTTTAATGTTTTACTTATTTCTGAAAGAGAGAGAGAGAGAGAGAGAGAGAGAGAGAGAGAGAGAATGAGGAGGGGAGGATCAGAAAGAAAGGGAGATACAGAATCAGAAGCAGGCTCCAGGCTCTGAGCTGTCAGCACAGAGCCCGATGTGGTGCTCAAACTCACCAACTGTGAGATCATGACCTGAGCTGAAGTCAGATGCTTAACTGACTGAGTCACTCAGGTGCCCCCAAAAGTCCTTTTATCTACACATTTTAAAAAATCTTGTTTCAAGGGGTGGCTCACTTGGTTAAGCATCTGACTCTTGATTTTGGCTCAGGTCATGATCTCACACTTTGTGGGATCGAGCCCTGCTAACAGCACAGAGCCTGCTTGGGATTTTCTCTCCCTTGCTCTCCCCTCCTCCCCTACTTGCATGTATGTGCACGCGTGTGCATGTTCTCTCTCTCAAAATAAATAAACATTAAAAAAATAAAAACCTTGTTTCGAGGAATGAGAAACTGAGAATACAAGAATGGCTTAAAGACAGACATGAAAGAGGGAAAATAAAATGATTACATGATTCTGTAAGAGCCCTTCTGTTCCATTATTCTCTCTCAGACATTATCTTATTCATACTAATTTCTCTGGTCCTTTAAATCCTTTTCTCTTTTTCATCGCTTTCCTGTGACTCCTTTCTTATTTTTAAAATCACTTTGTGATATAATATACCCTGCAAATTAAAATCTTAGAACACCTAGACCAAACCACATGGACTGAACAACTCACTTATATGTAACTGAATTTGCCATGAGTGTCTCTAAAGCAGATAGATAATCAACAACCAACTGGTTAGACTTAATGGCAGAGCTGACCTGCAGTGACTAGTTGTCCTTTACCCTCTTAAATTCTGAACTCAAACGAACAGTCACTTTCTTTAAAATCAGAAAAGGTAAGTATGGGGACATAGATTCACAAGAGTGATTCCGCTCTAACTTGATAATTCACAATGACTGAGTTAAATATAACTTAATCAAAACTTAACTTTAAAATGTGTAACTATTTCAATGGCACTGCATATTTTCTAGTGAAACAATAACCAAAAACTAATAAGAAATAGGCACTGATTTGTTTTAATGATTATTTTGGCAGTATTTTGTTTTCATGTACAAAAGAATGTACTAAATTCTCTCTAAAGAGAATTTTTAAAAGAACTATATTTTTATTTCAGGATGACTCAAGAATATGGACATGGAACTAAATGAGCCACAATCTTAAAATCAGCAATATGCAAAAGACCAAATGAGACATACATGTTAATCCTTGTCTTAACTAGGTTGGATACAATCCCAGTATGGTACTCAGTAGCTCCAAGCTTAAAAAGGTTAGGAAAGTCTAATAAATCTTGAGGTGAAGCAGTGGCTAAAAGTGGAAAAGCTTTTTGAAGGCTGAAGTACTGGTAAATAGTTTCATGTAACTCTAAAAAAAAGGGCAGGTGGTAAGGGATATTCCTATAAAAAGGATATAAAGAGAATAAACATGGCTTATTTTACTGGAGAGTCCTTTATATTTTTCAAAGATTACATGGGTTAGAGAAAAAACAATTTTTACTGTAATAGAATGTGGGATCTTAAAAAAAAAACTAGAGAAGTGTCACTTTCAATTATAAGCAATTAAATATCTCTCCAAGTGGAGAAATCCGTTTTCCTCTGCAGCAGACTTTTTTTGTTTACCACCAGAATAGACCTTTTAGTTACAGAAGCAAATAGACTACTTCTTTGAAAAAACCTATGGGGGTGCTGTGAACCTAAATGCAGGTGTTTTAGATGGTCATGGCTCTGCTTAGTGACGCACAGGCCACTAACAAATTACTCTTAAAAAGACATTCTGACTGTATTGTGTCTGAAAATTGCTTGTTTCTGAGGATACGTGTGTAGTAAAACAGAAATATCATCAAGTCAGGATATACTGACAGGACAGCAGAAGGCCAGGGAAGGAATTCTTAAGACCCCTTCTTGTCTAAAGCCTCACTTGATTCCACCCTGCAATCTGTCAAGATAAATCAGAACCCCTGTGGCTGAGGTCAAGCTTTTCCCCTGAAAGAAATATGATCTTATGGTCAGTCATCACAGAGCAAGAAAAGAAGTGAAACTCAGACTGAGAAAAATAACCATCTTCTCAAGACTTAGGGTCAGGGATGAAGAAAAAATCTGCAGAGCTGTGCTAACAAAAGTAAAAAATAAATAATTCAATACACTTTCCAATCGTTCTATTCTACACACAAACACTTGGCAGTCTTGACTAAGTCAGCTAAACTTGGTAACTGTTATTATTGTCGTCTGTTGGGTTTTTTTTTTTTTGTATTTCTTCTACATAAAATTACATTATTTTTTAAATGCCATACAAAAGGTTAAAGGAATCTCAGCAGTATCATTTGTCCAAAAGAAAAGAAATTTAAATCAGATAATATGTTCTTTAAAAAAAAAAAAGATAATATGTTCTTCCACTGAGCAAAGAATATTAGGTAATATTTTGGCTACTTCCAAATTTCAGTTACCTCCTCACTGTTTTCCCTTGCCCCTCACAATGCCTCCACTGTTTGGATATTTAGAAAAGTGCCCCATATTCTATGCAAACAAAAGGATATATATACAAATAATGCTTTGATGGTAAACAGACCAAACTTCTGTAAGGTACCTTACAAAATACCAACGTAATTAATGTATGAGTAGTTCTATGGCTTTCCAACCATACTCTTCATAACTGACCATCTATTTCAAGGAGGAAAAAACACTGTTTATTTCGTATTATGAGAGGAGACTCGGAAATCCTGATTTACATTTGACATGCAGGCAACAGCTTTGTACATGTTAAGGAAATTCATTCTCTGGTGCCTGGCTATATGATAAGCAATTTTATTAATACTCTGGTTATTACTCCCACAGATTCCATGAACACCTTAAGCCTCTGATGTACTCTTCCCCAACCAGAGCTGACCTACAGTTAGGTTTTTTTTACTTGGTTCCAGACCAAACACTTTGCCCTCTAAAATTCATTCTGTATCTGTAACATTCAATATCTGTAACATTCTGTATCTGTAACAACAGGTCTGGTAATCCTTTATTGATTTCTTACAATACTTCCTGTGATGGTAAGGGCAATTCTAAACTTTCTTCCCACAGGCTTTAATTCCTAATTACTATGAGCATGACCTTTCCTGGCAGAACACAGAGTCATCTACTTCAGTTACTAAGAATGAAGCCATAAGATGCAATGTCTTCATTTTCTGTCTTCTCCATCTCTAGTATCCACGTTCTCATCTATTACTTCTAGTATTATTTTCTTTCCTCCTATTTTTATATTTATTTATAATATATATTTTTTAAAAGCCTTTACAGAGGTTGACTGATTTAAAAAAAGAAGAAATTGAGATACTATAGTAATATCAAGTGAATTAAAATGGAATCAAATGAATACTACAGATACTTTCTGACCCACTGAAGACTATCATAAAAAGAAAATGTAGAGCACTGGGGTGGCTCAGTAGGTTAAGGGTCAACTTCAACTCAGGTCATGATCTCACGGTTCATGGGTTCGAGCTCTGTGTTGGGCTCTGTGCTGACAGCTCAGATTCTGGAGGCTGCTTTGGATTCTGTATCTCCCCTCTCTCTCTTCCCCTCCCCTGCTCATGCTCGGTCTTTCTCTCTCTCAAAAATAAATAAATGTTTAAACAATTTTTTTAAATAAAAAGAAAATGTACATGTTGTAAATCTGGAATTAATGTGGCTAATGTTACATTAAGTATATACCTAAATATATATAGTAGATATTTAGAAAGATACATGAAAGCCATTATTTATAGAGATTATCTAAAAGAAGTATAGGACAACAGCACTTTTACTTTTTTCTTTGTATTATTTGCTCCCTATGATAGATACTTACTACTTTTGTAAAGTAAGAGTCTAACCCAAAGTAATCTGAAGTAACTGTCTACGAAATTAAGGTTTCTGTCACTAAATGTAATGTTTACAGGGAATCACCTACCTCTACCTTTCATCAATCTCTTTTTTCATCTTTCTGTACACTGAGACGTAACAAAATGGAGAAGGGGAAAAGAGGGGAGGGCAGGGAGGGGAAGTTAGGGATAGAGAGGGATGAAGGAGGGGTGGCTTGGTGGGTAGAGAAAATGAGTATCTTTGTCTAGGTGTCTGCCAGAATCAGCTCTGGCTTCTAAGAAAAACAAAATTGTAATGAAGATGATGGTATCAAGAGTACTAATGTTAAAACCTACATAATTAGATGGTGAAATGGGAAACACATATCACTAAGGAATTCTAGAAAAGAAATGTTTGAAAAACAATTTGAAAAGCTACTCTTAGGTGATCTGATTACCTCTCAGGTCATCACATGCAGAACAGCAGTGGCTCAAATATCAACAGGCTAAAGAGAAGGTATCTTGCTTCAAAAAGGTAGTTACCAATAGTTTAATTAGGTTAAGTGCTTAGATAAAGGATGTAGAGTTTACAAATAGATATAAGCAGGGCAAAGGGAGGTTCAGATTTTCACACATATTTTAAGCACCTCATTTCCTTAGAAAATGAACAGATATACCATAATACTATATATCAAGGTCCTAATTTTTTCCTACTTCTAACATGCTAAGTTTCAGTTTTTGGAGTCTCATTTCAAAAACTCTGAAAAGCACACTATAAATTCTCACAAACATCAAATTTAATTTAAAAAGTTAACACAGAACCCAAATCCCTTCTGAGTTTGGCCCACTCAATAAACATCAGAGGCCAAGGTCATGTGCCAAGACAAATGCACCTTTGATACGAAGAGTGTGTGTGTTAAAAGTGTGACATGGATGCCCTCAGGGCAAGAAGCTAAAGAACCTCTTGAAGGACAAATGCTCCTTATAAAAAGGAAAATAAAAAGAAAGAGATGCCTGTGACCTTGGTGATTCTTTCCATCTCTATATTGATAGTAAATATATTCTGATTTTTTCTGTGACTATTTTTTTTTTTTTACATACATCAACTAGAAGACCCAAATAGGTAAAGGTCATGTTGCTTTTATACCTAAAAGACTCATATTTTAATAGTGATTTTTTTAACGTTTACTTATTTTGAGGGGGGTGGAGGAAGAAAGAGTATGAGTGGGGGAAGGGCAGAGAGAAAGAGAGAGAATCCCAAGCACACTCCTTGCCATGAGCACGAGCCTGACATGGGGCTTAATCTCAAACCATGAGATCATGACCTGAGCTAAAATCAAGAGTTGGATGCTTAACTGAGCCACTCAGGTGCCCCAATAGTGATTTAAACAGCTGTGCAACCAAAGATAATTTTTACCTTTGAGTCTTTTTTGTTTTTAATAAAAATAGAAGTTATCAATCAGAAAATACTCTTATATTTGGAGTGTTCCATTTTTAATCCTTTTTCTCTCAATGCCTTAGCGGACTGACTTTTAATGTTTGCTGACTGGAGTATAAAAGACCCCCAGACTGTGCAAAGGAAGTGAATTTTCATCCTAACTCCACCATGACTAATCTTACGGCCTTGCAAGTTTCTTGACCTCTGATCATCTGTAAAATGGAGACAACAAAACAGACTTCACAAAACTAGAATGTAAAAAGATAGTGTCTGGTATACAGTTGGTGCTCCTTAAATATTAGTTATTTCCTTTGTTGGTAAATCAATTTCTCTAGGCTTCAATATCTCATTTTTAAATTGATAAAGTTGAACTCTACTTAATTTATAACAATATTTATATTCACTAATGATGATTTGGATGGCCATAATTTTTCAGCGTATGAATATGGAAAGAGAAAAGACTCATTACAACTATGAAAAAAGAAAGAACCACAAGAGTAGCTATAAATGCCTGGGCAAAAGGAAAAAGAAGAAAGCAGAAATAAACTGTGGAGATAAATGGCATGTTGACAATTAAAAAGCCAATGTTACACTGCTTAAAGAATTGTTTACAATTTATATATAAATGATAACAGGGCTGTCAATACCCAAAATCTAATTTGCCCAGATACCTAAATTATATATAACTTGCATTTTCACAAATCTGGTAAAAAAAGAAATTGAAATGTTGAGCAATATAACATAATTAAGGTTACTGAAAATAGTGGCTCTGAAAATAAAATTTTAATCACCAATGAAAGAAAACTTATCTATAATCCCCCAGACTGTGTTGTTACGGTGGACATTCTGATATTACACTTAATACTTCTGTTCATATTACTAAAACATACTAACAAAACTATTAGGGCCATTTCCATTAGAACTGTTGATTAACCTTGAGTAAATCTATACCTGGCATTAGCACAAACTGATTTTTTAGACTTTTTAAAACTTTTTTTTTAAGAATAGTGTTGCATTTTTAATTTTTTAAAATGTTTTCATTTATTTCTGAGAGAGAGAGACAGCGTGAGCAGAAGAGCGTCAGAGAGAGAGGAAGACACAGAATCTGAAGCAGGCTCCAGGCTCTGAGGGAGCTGTCAGCACAGAGCCCAACACGGGGCTCGAACCCACGAACCGTGAGATCATGACCTGAGCTGAAGTCGGACGCTCAACCTACTGAGCCACCCAGGTGCCCCGAAAACTTTTAATTCCAAAGTATAGCTCTCAGAGTTTATCAAATAGTTTTTCACTGTTCTTTGAACTACCACCTTTCAAACAAATTTCTTTACTGAATGCCTGGCAATATCTCTGAGTCCCTATAACTGCTCCTGAAGAGCCTTGTTTCTAATCTACTTTCTTGCACAGCATTTCCCATTACTTCTCCATTTTCATGCTCTCCTGTTCTATTCCCCTGTTTTTTCACAATGTCCTTTTTTAACATTTATTTTTGAGAGGGAGAGAGAGAGTGTACAGGCATGGACTCACGTGCGCATGTACACACACACACACACACCATGCCAGTGGTGGAGGGGCAGAGAGAGAGGGAGACACAGAATTTGAGGCAGGATCCAGGCTCTGAGCTGTCAGGACAGAGCCTGATGCAGAGCTTGAACTCACAAAAAATAAGATCATGAGCTGAGCCGAAGCTGGATGCTTAACTAGCTGAGCCACCCAGGTGCCCCCACAAGGTCCTATTTTAATCAAGATACTGCCCAATGTTTCTGATTGCCCAATCCATGCGTGCACATGCACCCCCTCCCCATACCTAGAGAGGTCAGACACTCAGGTGACTTTAATAATGAGAAAAAAGGAGGAAGCTGAATCATTTAATTATACAATATGAACTATGAATGAGGATGATGTCAGACAAAAAGGTGTGGTTTGAAGATACGTAAAGAGCTAGTAACTCTTCCAAATGTAAAACAAGTACCAAATTATTTTACCAAATTTTTAATTCTTCTGAATCAACCTTTTCTTAGAATATGAAAAGCCAAATCAGGGAAGACTTTAAATCCAATCATTAAAATATTCCTCCACAATTCTAGTGTTATTTGGGGGAGGAGAGGACTTGGGTAAGTTTTCATAGTTAAGATATCTTTTTTTTTTTTTTAATATTTTTATTTATTTCCAGGAGAGAGAGAGAGACAGTGTGAGCAGGGGAGGGTCAGAGAGAGAGGGAGTCACAGACTGAAACAGGCTCCAGGCTCCGAGCTGGCAGTCAGCACAGAGCCCGACGCGGGGCTCGAACCCACGAACCGCGAGATCATGACCTGAGCGAAAGTCGGACGCTTAACCGACTAAGCCACCCAGGCGCCCCAATAGTTAAGATATCTTAATTGGGGAAAGAATTCTAAATCATGGAATAAATATGAATAATTATAAGCAAAGAGTTTCTTTGTAACCTCTTTGCTTCAACTGTCCTTTATTTCTTCTGCTATTAGTTATTAGCAGAATCATAAAATGAAAAATGTTACTACAGTAAAGAAAAGCTGCTTGAGTAAAAAAGCAAACAAAAAAAAAATAAAACTTTTAAAAAGATTAAAATTTTGGGGGGTGGGGAAGAGAATAAAACTTTTCAAGAAAGAAAACAGATTTCTAGAATTCAATCAATTATAAAATACATTTCTAGGTAGCCTCTGACATTCAGACGGAAACACCCAAGTCTGAAAACACATTCTCATCTGCAGATACTAAAATCTAGGTAATTAGCAAAGATTCCATTCATTATATGTATTAATAATTAAAGCTACTTAAAATCTTCCCACATATTCTGTCAATTTATGCATCATCTTAAAATCACACCCTTTCCTGCATTAACCCTAAGAATAGTGTATTACAGGCCACATACATATAATCAAATAATGAATCATGACCAAGTTCCTATTGCC